TCCCTCACGCCTCCTCTCCCTGCAGTCGGAGTCGCAGGACCAGGTCTTCCTTCGCTGGAGCAGCGGGGAGACGGCCACCATGCACATCCTGGTGGTGCACGCCATGGTCATCTTGCTGACGCTGGGGCCGCCCCGCGGTGAGCAGCCTGTGGGGAAGTGGGGGTGGCGGCTCCGGGTCTGTCCGCAGGTTTGCTGCTTCACGTGGAGGGGCCTGCCCACCTCGTGGGTGCAGAGTCGGAGGGCCCAGCCCTCATGGGTGTCCCCTGGAGTGCACGTGTTGGGGAGTCCTCTCCCTGCCTGTCCAGAGGCTTCTGGGGGAGTACACAGCAGCACCCACACGGTCGGACCACAGATGGACAGGCCGTGACTCCTCACTGCCCAGCCACACTGGCCTGTGGTTATGTGATGCCCATGGGCAGTGCCCGGGTGGCTTCCTGTGCTCGCGCCCCTTCTCCTGGCCCAGCAGGAAAACGGGGTTTCACGAAGGACAAGTCCACTTTCAGCTGATTCTGTGCGATCCCCCAGAGCCTAGACTTTCCCGGACGAGACGAGGAAGCACCCGCTCCCCCCGCCTGGGCTCCCCCCGCTGGCCTCAGTGCGCGGGGCCGGGGCTCCGGCCGAGCCGTGTCTGCTGCTGACCCTGTTGTCTCTCCCCAGCGGGTGACGAGGAGTTCCAGGCCCTGCTGGACATCTGGTTCCCCGAGAAGAAGCCCCTGCCCACGGCCTTCCTGGTGGACACATCCGAGGAGGCGCTGCTGCTGCCCGACTGGCTGAAGCTGCGCATGATCCGCTCCGAGGTCCCGCGGCTGGTGGACGCAGGTATGGCCTGGGCTGGGCGGGGGCGGGGGAGGGGAGGCTCCGCAGAGAGCCTGCCCTGAGCCCTCACCTCAGGAGTGAGACGGAGGCCCGGCGTGAGGCGTCCGTGGGGACAAGGACCCAGCCACCCGGGACTTAGAGGGGAAGGAAGGCAGGGCCGCTCCTGGTGCTGGAAGATGTCCCGTTGGGCGGTGCAGGCAGGGCTGGGCGCAGGAAGCAGCTTAGGGAGTGGTGGCTGCCTGGGCGGGTGGGAGGATGTGCTTGAAGGAGCCTGGACCCCTGGGAGGCTCGGGAGCCACGGGGGGTTTTGGGGAGCTCAGAGCCAAGAGGCCAGAAGCCACATGGCTGGCACACAGCCGTGGAGCAAGCGTGGGACCCGGCGGCACCTTGAGCTGCCTTCGGGGCGGGAGAACCGGCCCCGGGTGCTGGCTGAGTGCGTGTGGCCACAGCCCTGCAGGACCTGGAGCCCCAGCAGCTGCTGCTGTTCGTGCAGTCCTTCGGCATCCCCGTGTCCAGCATGAGCAAGCTCCTGCAGCACCTGGACCAGGCCGTGGCCCACGACCCCCAGACCCTGGAGCAGAACATCATGGACAAGAGTAAGGGCTGGGTCCCCGCGCTGGCCAGTCAGTGTCCGGGACCTGGTGGTCAGCCCGGGACTTGGGATCTGAGGGGGTGGGGGGAGGGGGGCTGTAGCTCCGAGCAGGAGTAGAGGCTGGGGTTGTCAGGAGAGGCCAGGCCGTCCCTGTCCATGGAGCCAGCCGGGCATCAGCACACCCTTGGGGGGGTGCCCAGCACTCCTGCTCCTGCTGGCGGGCCCAGGGGGGGCCCAGCTCCGCCCATGGTGTTTACTCCCAGCTGCTGCTTCACAGATTACATGGCTCACCTGGTGGAGGTGCAGCACGAGCGAGGAGCGTCCGGAGGCCAGACGTTCCACTCCCTGCTCACGGCCTCCCTGCCCCCGCGGCGAGGTACCAGCCCAGCCCAGACCCAGGGGAAATGGTGGCTGCTAGCCAGTGTCTGGGCTCCTGCCCCCGGCCCCGCACGGCCCACACGTCTGCTCTTCTCTCGGGTGGGGGCCTGGCGAGGCGGGGACTCTGAGCCGACGCCTCCCTCTTCCTGCAGACAGTGCCGAGGCACCAAAACCCAAAAGCAGCCCGGAGCCGCCTCCGGGCCAGGGCAGGATCCGGGCCATGACTCAGGTGCGGGTGCTCGGCCCCGAGGACGACCTGGCCAGCATGTTCCTGCAGGTGTGGCCACACTGCCGGGCCTCAGAGCCGGCGTCCCAGCTGTCCCTCTCCTCCTCCCTCCCGGTGCCCCCGTGTCCTCCCCCCGAACAGCAGGCTCAGAACAGGTCCCCCTCTGGGTGGTTGTAAGACGCGTTCGGTGTGGAGAACGGCCCAGAGGTGCCATGGCTCCCACCACCTGGCCCGGCCTCTGGCCTGGCTCCAGCGGGCACCTGCCCTCGTGTGTCCGACAAGCCTGCATGTCACAGGTGTGGCTGTGCGTGTGCCTTTGCGTCATTATTGAGAAGGGGCTCGAGTGCGACACACTGTGTCCAGAGTGTGTTTGTCAATTTCTGGTGCGTTGAGTGTGCAGCCTGCCTCTGGCTGACTGTGGGCCCCGTGCCCCGCTCTCCGCCCCCGCCCGCCCTCCTGCGTCCGTGCTTTCCCTCTTCCTGACACACGTGCACACGAGCCCCGTGGTGGTGGTCCTGTGTCCGTGTGTGTTCCCGCCACGTGCAGCCATGTTTACCAGGCGCAGGACCACCTCTCTACTCGCACGCTCGCACTCTCCCTGACCTCCCGCCGGGGGAGGCCGCCCTGTGGGTGGAGGGCCCTGGCCCTCCCTGGACGGAGAGCCTTGCAGGGACCGGCCTCTGGCCAAGAAGGGGAGCGTGGTCATGATGGGCGCAGGGTGAGGCCTGAGGGCCCCTTTCGGCCGCATCTGTGCCGACCACTGCCCTTTCCTCTGCCCAGGTCTTCCCGCTGAGCCCAGGCCCACGGTGGCAGATCTCCAGCGCCCGCCCTGTGGCCCTGGCGCTGCAGCAGGCCCTGGGCCAGGAGCTGGCGCGAGTCCGCCAGGGGAGCCCTGAGGGGACGGGCATCGCGGTGCGCCTGCTGCAGGCCATGGCCTCGCTGCTGAACTCCCCGCACGGCGGGGCCCTGGCCGTGTCCATGCAGCGGCACCACTTCCTGGCCTGCCCTCTGCTGCGCCTGCTCAGCCAGCACCAGGTGGGCATGTCCGCACGGAGGTGGGGCTGGGTGGTCGCCCTCGCTGGAAGGTGTCCAGCCGGGAGCCGAGGGGTGGTTTCCGCTGAGTGCCTCCCCCCTGGACGCACTGATCGGCCGGTCGCCGTACCTGCTCAGGTTTACGTGCGAGTGTATTTTATCGTTTGTGTCTCTGCCTGTTACGTTCACTTAATCTCCCCGCCCTTGCTGCCCCCAGTGGCCCGCAGTGGGTTCAGGTGACGACTGAGGCCCTGGGGCACCTGGGGAGCACTGTTGACAGGTGCTGTGACCATGTCCCCGGCCACAGCCTGGGCGGCCCTGAGCAGCGTAGCCATGTGCCGTGTTGTCCCACAGCGCTGCCTGCCCCAGGACTCTGGCTTCTCGTCGCTTTTCCTCAAAGTGCTCATGCAGATGCTGCAGTGGCTGGACAGCCCCGGCGTGGAGGCCGGGCCCCTACAGGCCCAGCTCAAGCTGTTTGCCACTCAGTACTCGGCCCAGCGCAGGATCGGCGACGGTGAGGGCGGGTGGGGTTGAGCCCCGTGCTGGTCCGTGGGGAGCGATGGCCTTGTCGGCACAGGCAGCTGTGTGCTCAGGTCTGCGTGCCCTGAGTGCCTGATTGGCTCCTGTGGGCGAGGCCAGGCCGTGTAGGGTAGTGCTTTGGGGAGGCTCCCAGAGAGGGAAGTGCAGGTGGGCCCCGAGGGGGTCGGCAGTTCAGGGGCTCTCGGACAGACCAGCTGACAGAGGTGGGGGTAGAGGCCACGCCAGGCCCGGGGTCACACAGGCGTGTTCCTGCAGTGCGGAGCGGGTTCCTGCACCTGGCGGAGGCCCTGGCCTTCCGTGGGGACATGGAGGTGGTCAGCTCCACCGTCCGGGCCCTCGTTGCCACCCTGAGGGCCGGGGAGAAGTGTGGTGTGGAGCCTGAGCTTATCAGCAAAGGTATGTGGGCCTGGGAGGACCCTTGGCGCCCCTGCTGCCCCCACCAAGGCCCCCACCCAACACCGTGAGCCAGTCCCGTGGCTCCCCAGCTCTCACCCTGAGGCAGGTCCCAAGCTGCACCCACTGCTGGCCGGCCTGGGCTGGCACACCGGCCCCTGTTGGCACAGGATCGGGGACTGTCTCTGGAGTCAGGTGGTCTGAGGGCCGCCGGCTCCATCCGAAGCTGGAATGACACACCGATCGCCTGTCCCTGCCACAGTCCTGCGGGGCCTGATCAGGGTGAGGTCGCCTCACCTGGAGGAGCTGTTGACGGCGCTCTTCTCGGCCGCCTCTGCCCTCCCGGCCTCCAGGCCGGTTGCGGTGGTGAGCTCCCTGCTGCTGCAGGAGGAGGAGCCGCTGGCCGCGGGGCAGCAGGACACCGATGGCAGCAGGTAAGCCTTTCGCTGCGGGGGGCAGGTCTGATGGGCAGCTCCGAGGGCGTCACTGAGCCCCCTCCCCTCCCTGCAGCCTGGAGGCCGTGCGGCTGGGGCCTTGCTCGGGGCTCCTGGTGGACTGGCTGGAGACGCTGGACCCCGAGGTGATCGGCAGCTGCCCCGACCTGCAGCAGAGGCTGCTGTTCTCCCGGAGCAAGGTGGGCTGCGCGGCGAGGACCGGCACCAGGGCCCTGGCCACTCCGGGCGCTGCTTCTGCTCGCAGAATCCGGGCCCAGTTCTCATCCACGTTCCCTCCAAGCCCGTCACCGACCGGCCAGATCTGGTTGCTGGCACTCAGCTGGGAGGGTCGGTGCTTGTGGGCCCAGGTGCTCGCAGAGGGGACTTGGCGGTGCCATGGCTGACAGACAGGAGCGAAGCGCCGCTGTGGGGACGGGTCCTCTGAGCGGGGGTGCCGGGCCCTGCAGGGAGGGGTGGCCTCCGTGTGCCTGCCTGTCCGCAGAGGGCGCTGGAAAGCAGAGCGGACCTGGGAGGGGCTCCGAGCACTGCTCACTCAGGCTGCGCCCACTGTGGTAAGTGTGAGCTGCTCGGTGCCCGGGGCTGACCCGGAGCAACCGCCAGGCCGAGAGCGGGCGAGGTTGTTCTGACGTTTCCCTCGTGTGTCCCCGTCTCCGAGGTCGGTTCAGCTCAGCACACCTGTCGTCTGCAGAGGGGCTGCCGGCCGGGTGCATGGGCGGCCACTGCTGCCTCCTGGGCATGGCCCTTCCTCCGCTCCTCGGGCAGTGCCCACCAGGCTTCCTTCCTCCCCAGGGCAAAGGCCAGCCCGGCCCCCAGGTGCCCTCTTTCCGGCCCTACCTCCTGGCCCTCCTCACGCACCAGTCCAATTGGTCCACGCTGCACCAGTGCATCCGGGTCCTGCTGGGCAAGAACCGGGAGCACAGGTGAGCCCCTCCCCCCACCTGCCAGGGGCCAGGGGCCCAGCGGGGACGCAGCTCTGAGGCTCGGGCATCCGACCCAGCACCTCCCCTCCTCCTTCCTCCGGCCCTGCAGCTCTCGCCCAGCCCTGGCTGCACCACTGCCCCAGGCAGGGGCCCCGTCAGTGGGCATCGCCTCCTGGGGTACAGAGCATGCTGGCCCAGTGTCCCTGTTGCATGTGACCACCAGGGCAGGCAGCCAGGCCCGGAGCAGCCCACTCTCCCCAGGTCACGCCCCTGGCTGTCATCACACTGCCACGCGGGCACCAAATGACCCTCTGTGGCTGGCAAGTCCGGGGGTGGGCAGGGCCAGCGTGGGGCAGGGAGAGGTCAGGCAGGACGGGCCGCCCATGTCCCCTAACCGCTGATCTGGGCCCTTCGTGAGGAGCCCCTGGGAGGGTGGTGGCCGAACCGTGTCCTCCCAGGGAGCCTGTCTCCTTCGTCTGCCCCTGCCCTGCTTTCCGTCTGTGCCCAGAAAAGGACGGCCTCACGCTCCTGGGGCTCCTTGCTCCCCCAGGTTTGACCCCTCGGCCTCCCTGGACTTCCTCTGGGCTTGCATCCACGTGCCTCGGATCTGGCAGGGAAGGGACCAGCGCACCCCTCAGGCAGGTCATGGGGAGCACCCGCCTGCGGGCTGGGGTGACACGCGTGCGAGCCCATTGGTCCGCCCGGGGCTGGCTGATGGGGTGCCCGTTGCAGAA